GGGATAGATGGTCAACCCTGCTCAATATCAAAATTTCAGTCTTGAAAAATTATAATGAAGTGAAACAGCAGAAATGTTCAGGTGACAGAAAAGGAATTGTCATTCCTGGAAGCTTTTTTTAATAGTAGTTTGATTTCTCTACACCTTCATGGACATCAGTATCCACTCCCAGACTGACCTCACACTGCTCAGCCAGGTCATCCCTACCTGTGGACTTTCTCCCTCCTTCCAAGATCCCAGCAGACCACCTGATTCCTTAGATCTGTTTTGGAAGTAAATCACGGGCTGATCCTGAACATCACAGCCAGGAATCCTACGGCCCTCCCAGCCTGTCCTTTCACCAAGATACTCCATTTTCACTCCTTAAACAGTCAGTCGCACTGGGTCTTTTTTTTTTTTTTTTTTTTCATTCTTCTCAAACTACATGAGGTGATAAATCTGTGATGCAATGAACAACATGGTGTGATATAATAGCATATAAGACAATACTGTAATACTGTATGATGTGATAATTGGGATTGTTCAGCCTGGAGAAGAGAAGCTTTGGGGTGACCTGATTCCAGCCTTCCAGTACCTGAAGGGGGAACTTTCAGAAAGATGGAGAGAGACTGTTCACAAGAGCCTGGAGGGACAGGACAAGGGGGAATGGCCCCAAACTGACTTAGAGCAGGTTTAGATTGGATATTAGGAAGAAATTCTTCCCTGTGAGGGTGGGGAGGGCCTGGTACAGGTTGCCCAGAGAAGCTGTGATGTCCCTACCCTGGAAGTGTCCAAGACCAGTTGGAGGAAACTGGGATTAGTAGAAGGTGTCCCTGCCCATGGCAGGGGTTTGGAACAAGATGATCTTTAAGGTCCCTTCCAACCCAACCATTCTACAATTTTATTATAAAAAGTAATCATATTTCTCTGGGTAAATCTTGCAGACAGTAATTAGCAGCCTGTCCCTACGTGCAGTAACAGGCAGTTATGGCATCCCCAGCTCCAAGGGGTTCCCAGGCTGATAAAACCTGTTCTGGATAATGAATCTGCAAGAAATCTTGTGGATGAAAAGCAAAGGCTGATTTTCAAAGAAGACCATTTGAGCCGGATCCTCACAGGTGCTACAGACTATGTAAATATGTGACAGATTCCTAAAGATGACACTATTCCCAGGGATACAGAAGAGGGATACTGGAGTATAACAACAGCATCTACCTTCAGATATTTGTTCCTGTCTCCTACTGAATCACCTACATCTCCCATTCCCAATTCCTATTCAAAAATAAAAATTCTTGCTGCCTGTAATTTTCCAGGAAAAGTGGTCACTTATCATCGATATTTATTTTTAGCAAGGATGTGAAATAACAAGTGTCTGGAGATTTGGAAAATGGCATCTGCTACTGATGGGGGTGGACTGGGAAAGCCTTGGGCTGCCTGACAGTCTCCTTTTAGTTACTGAGAAAGGCAGACATCAAGAATCTCACATACACTCTTGGGATGCTTTGAAGGAGTCACTTCTCCTTTTCTCCCTAACAACTCTGCTTTTGTTCTTTCATGACTTTGGGGGTTTCTCAGGAGTTTTCTTGCTTTTACCCTTCAGACTCTCTCCCCCATCCCACTGTGGGGGGAGTGGGTGAGCATTTTTCTGGGGTTTAGTTGCTGCCTGGGGTTAAACAATGACAGAAACAGAAAATGTTCTTGAAGTGCATATTTTTAACCTTTTCTATCACCAATTTAATTCCTCTGAATGAGGACATGAAGAAAGACCACGAAGGTCAAAGTCTGAGCTTGAAGACCCCTCTGAGAAACAGCTCTGCCACCTCTCAGTCCCTCCCAGCCAGAAAACACCAGGAAAAAGATGATTTCTTCCAGTTTTGTTGACTCTACCTCATCTCCTTCCCTCTGCAGGCTCCTCTTCCCTCCCTTGTGCTTTTGTACTTCTGCACATTAGAATATTAGGTCAAACGCCCTCACTAAAAATTGTGCTGTACAACATTTCTCATTTTCATCTTTTTTTTTTTCTGCTTGATTTTCTCCTCATCTGCTGGAGACATCAATGGGAATTTTCCCCTCAGAGGTTTGCCCTTTGATCATGCCAGAGTTTCCTATAAACATTATATCAAAACAGGGCTTCCCTAGTTCTTTATAAATGTTTACCATGTGCTCAAATATGCCATGAAAACAAGGATCAGCTCTTAATCTTGGAATTATTGGCAATTTTTATTACTTCCTCACACTGTGAATAATGTGTAACAGAGCCTGAGATGTCTGTGGTCTTGTCAGGGAGTGAAGTGTCACACAGTGGGTAAATCCTGATCTTTTATTGTTACATAAATTGCACAATTTAATGTTTATCCCAATAGTGATGCTTTCGATTATTGTGTGGAAGCAGAGAGAGGGATTATTTTGCTGTTTGCCGTGGAAACCACCTGAAATTCAATCTGTAGGGTAATCTAATTATAGTGTGAATGATAATCAGACTAGATGACAGCACTGTCTTCTACAAACTTCAACCTGAATGTACCTTATGTTGTCTATTATTAGCAAGCTACAGGGACAGGGACAGTGTCCTCTGTTTGCACAAGAGGTTATTGAGATTTATATATAAAAATATACATAAATATATATATATACATATATATACATAAAAATTATGTAGATGAAAATTAAATATATATCTAATTTAGTGTAAAATAATGGTTCACAGAACTGTAAACACAGTTCTGCAAAATTTAATATGGACCTGAATTTTCCTTTTCCACTAAGAAATAGTTGTGTTTAATGGAAAGCTCTGCTGTCTCTGGTGTAAGATCCTGATTTGAAACCCCTGCAGGGCACGGAGTGTGTAATAAGGAGCCTTCACTCACTTTGCTCTCCACCAAGGACCAAAAGACACCTCAAAGTCGTGTTGTCACAGCGTGTCTTCACGATGCAGGAAGTGTCACCAGGCTTTTCCAGACCTCACCTCAGCCTGGCAATCTATCACACGCACTTTTGGCATTGACAAATCAACTGCACAGCTCAATTCCAGAGCCTGCAGCCTGCTGGATGCTTCTCTCTGCACCACAGCCTTTCCCACCGAATTCCCACGGAGAGGTGTCAGCAGGCTTAGAGTGGAGGGGGCGGCAGGAAGAGCTCGGAGATTAAAGTTTAGATTAAATTTCACAGTAATAAAGCCTGTATTAAAACACTCTGCACTGATGAGTGCAGTTGTTTTCTGAGTTTTAACATGCTCACCACCTATGGTAAAAGAAATACTACAAGCTCCAAACATATAAAGGGGAGAGGAGTTGTTAATATTCCTACAAACCAAGATAATCAATCAATCGATCAATCAATCACACCTTGGATAAAGCCACAGCGAAGGCAACACTTGGATGAGTAAACAGGGAATATCAGGTTGAACTAGAAGGGATATATGACACCTTTGATTACAACACCTTGGGGACAACAATGTTTAATTCCAACTAGGAAAATTCCAACAAGGTGTTGATGAATCAGAGGTTTAAAGGTGGATAGTTATTATTTAAGAACTTGAAAAAAACTCTATTATAGTGAAAACTTTAGGAGTGCAACCTGGTTTATTTGACCAAAAAAAACACAATAAAAAAGGATTAAAGGTTATAAGGGATTATTTGAATAGACCCTTAATAAAGATATTTAAATGGAAAAAATCATAAAATAAAACTTAAAAATTGTCAAAAAAACATAGTGCTTGGAAAAAAGTAGAAGTAGAATAGGCAAATTCAGACTAGGGACAAAACTTATTTTTATGACTCTAAGCCTTCTAAATGTAATTAAACTTTAGAACAACCTACCAGTGTTTGTTCTGGGTTTTTAGTCACTGGAAATGTGTAAGTCCTACCTGTGTTTTGAGTTATGTACAAGGTACGGACTAAATGAGCACAGTGGTCTCCCCTGGTTTCTAATCTAATAAGAAAATTAATTAAATCCTATTACAATGCTGATTTTAGCCTTTACAAATCTATATATAAATCAAGGGAATGGTTCACCTTAGAAACAGAATTAATGCAAGACTTTGAAAGTTAAGTTAAACAAGCATTTTGTAGAGTGAATTAAGTGTTTGGCTGTGAGTTCTCAAGGGCACGTAGTTTTATATACATCATTTTCTCAGGAGAGAGCACAGACCAAGCTTCTGGAACACAAGATCCCTCCCCATCCCATCAGGTTTACAGCCTTGAGACGAATCACACATGACTGCAGCAGTGGCTGGTTTTCTTACTGCTCTGAAATGTTTCCATTTCCCACTGAGTGTTGCACTGAGAGCCCACAGCTCTGCTGAGCAGAGCAGGGGCTGCCTCACTTCTCCTGGACACCAGCAGAAGGCACCTAATGAGGGGTTGTATTTAAATCCATTTCAAACATCCACATGAAATATTCTTATTTGCTTCTTGTCCAGGCTTGGACACATTTTGCTTACAGAGGAGTCGAATGGAAATGGGGAGTGATTTGTCACCAGGATTGGTGAAGTCCAAGCTCATCCTCACAGCACACGTGGGAAGAGGGGCTTTCTGGGAAGCACGTCCTGAAATCTCTTCATCATGTGTCCATAACACACCTCTATATTATAAACCTGCGTATTCTGAGCAAATTACATCTTCAAGGAAATTGTGTTTTTTGCTCCTATTTCTGCTCCTACTTGTCTGTTTCCCCGAGTCTGAAATGTTTTGTTTCTAGTGCTTGAAACCATTACCTTCCTTTGTAACCACTGCTGCTATGGCAAAAAAAAAAAAAAAAAAAAAAAAAAAAAAAAAAAAAATGTTTTGTGCTTGCTTTTAGGGGTGGATAAACGTTGTTTTCTTAGGCTTATCCAACACAGTGAGCAGCACATCAACAGTTTATTTTATTAAGACAGTGTTTTTAGCAGAACTAAAAAAGAATTTCTGAATAACTGAACAATAAATCTGTTCTCATCATTCCAGGCAGCACCAAAATCATCAAGCTTTTTCCACTGGTGAAACAGCAAGCAAAAATCAAAGCAACCTCCCCAGCAAACTTACCCAGTTTTGGCAAACGTTGCCCAGTGTCTCATCATGGACCGGCTCAAGATTTCCTCGGCTTTGGTGTAATTCACCTTTCTCTCCAGGGGCAGCCCAAACACAAACTCAATCTCATAGCCATGCATCACTCCCATCCACTCTGGCCAGGGCAGCTTGGAGGATCGATGCTCAAAGAAGTAAAAGAACACGTTGTTTCCCAGCTGGGCGAATTTTGTGGTGAATTCCAGGACAGGACAGATGATGTTGTAGTCCCCGACGGCATCATCAGCAGCGTCACAGTAGTGCTCCGGCCTGTGCTGGTTTTCCCAATCCGTGTACTGAAAGATGATGGATTCTATTGCGAGTTTGCTCACTCCTGGGAAGGCCAGAGTTAAGGCTGTTTCAAACTGGGTTTTATTGACCAAGCCATCACTGTCCTTGCTGAAGCCAGGGACTCCATACGCCAGAAATCCTGAGCCTTCGTCTTTATTAACGCCGACTAAGATCTGCGTTTGTTTGAAAAGGCCTTTCTCGATCAATTTTTCTGGCATGTCTAAGAGAAAATCGCCATCCACAGTTGGGCAAAAATGCACTTGCAACAAGGAGACGCCCGGAGCAGCAAAAATTTCGTTCTCCAGTATTTCCTTCGGGTCCTTGTCTTGGAGGCAGAGAATCAGCTCTGTCTCATTGCTGGTGGGACACTGGAGCTGTTTAGCTAAAGCCACTGTTCTGTTTCTGGCTTCAGATGCTGTGACTGCAGCCCAAGGGGCATTGGCAGATCCACTCTGCATGATGGCCCTGGTGAACAAAGGATGGCTTTTGGGGGAAAGGATGTGGTAGTTGACAGAGGCCGAGCCAGCGCTCTCCCCAAATATCGTCACGCTTTTCGGGTTGCCTCCAAAGGCTGCTATGTTCTCCTGCACCCACTGAAGGGCCAACCTTTGGTCAAACAAACCCGCATTTCCAGGAGCTTCCTGGTTTCCTGGCAAAGCCAAAAACCCAAATGCAGCGACCCTGTAGTTCATGGAAACCACGACAACTCGTTCTACCCTGGCCAGAAATTTGCCATCGTAGACCAGCAGGGAGGTGGACCCAGACTCGAAGCCACCGCCGTAAATCCACACCATGACGCTTGCATTCTTGGGCCTGGGAGAAGGAACCCACACATTAAGGTACAAGCAGTCTTCACTCAGGTTGGTTTTTGGATTCCACATCTCTGATCCGGCGAATCCCGGGTAAGTTGTGTCTATGTGCTGGTAACAAGAGCTGGCGTGTTTTGTGGCATCCCAAACGTCCGACCACTTCTCCCGAGGTTCTGGCCTTTGAAACCTCAGTCTGCCAAGGGGTGGCTGTCCATAAGGTATTCCAAGGAAGGCTGTCACAGTTCCCCCCAGGACCTGCAGGTTTGTCCCCCTGACTCTGCCTTTCTTGGTTGTAACAATGTTGTCTTCAGGCATCACCTTCCTGATGAACATGCACAGGAGAAGAAGCCACATCAGAAACCTGGTAAGGAGACTTGGCCCATTTGTCCAAATCATGATGCCTGAAACACAGGAGAAAGAAATTCAGAATTAGTGTTGCAATATATTACTACCAGAGCCAAAATGATTTGTTAAATAAGGGTGCAGGTCATCCCAGGGGCTTTGAAAAGAACATGGTGCTGTTGCACAAAGCTCAGCAGTATTTAATCATAAATTCTCATTTGCCAGTTGTGTTGCAAAGACTGTGTTTAGTATTTTGTGTTTGGTCATTCCTGCAGAAAAATTCTGCTGCTGAAAAGCACAGAACTGAACAAGCCAGATCAGGGAAGGTAAAGTAACATAAGCAGGCTCTGATTACTCCAGTTAGCAGGTGACTTAAACACTAAAGACTTAAATGAGACATGTCTTTCAAGATCTTGTTTCTCTAGAGGAGTTAAAGCAAGTTCACAACCATCAGAGTACTACATAGTAGTAGTCAAACTTCTGCTGCTTAGAATGAACGTTAAAATGCTAAAACACCAAGGACCTTTGAATATATGTAGATGGTACCTAAAAATGTACATATTGTCCACTCATTGCTTCCTGAGAACCCTTCCAAGTGATAATTAGTATTACCTAAAAGCTAAGGGAATAATAGCTGATTCTATATCATATATAAATACTATTATTCTGATTTACCCCAACCTTCTCAAATGCTATAAAACCCCAGTACTGTCCTCTTGAAAGTGAAAATTCAGACAAAGGCTATTTGCATAAATCCATTTTTGTGCTTTACATATTTGAAAATGCTCAACAAAGCTCCCTTCTATTTTTTCCTTGTTACCCTGTTGTACATCATGTACTCTGTCCTGCCCCTTTAAACAGGCCACTCTTTGTTAATGAGGAGAATTTGTGTCCTTAAAAGGAATGAGGCCAATTTGTATGGAAAATACAGCTGTGGCCTAATTTGAGCTCCTCATGATTGTTTGCCTGTTCTTGGAAAGAAAATGTAGAGGGGGGGGGGGAAAGGAATATTTTGTGCAAAGAGGTTCTTAACTTTGAGACAGCACCAAAGAAGCAGGGAGGAATCTTCAAGGATATTTTTATCGTTCATCAAAACAGATAGCAAATAGATAAATTTTAGAAAGCATGAACATTTATTGCCATTTTATCTTGTTACTGTGTTAAAGAAAATAGATAAGGTGGTGAATGGGGGTAATCAGAGTTGGTGTCACACTCCACCTTCAGCTGGACTAGCAGAAACCTGCAAGTGCCCCACTGTTTGCTAGATTTTACAGATGTGAGTTGTCAGCTCATGTGGTCCAGCAATTCCTGAGGGGTTTGGGTGAGCAGGACTCGCTCTGGCATGGACAGGAGGCTCACTCCCATCAGTTAGTGGCATTTAGCTCCTCTCCCTTTGTGGCCTTAGGGAATCATAGAATATTCTGAGTTGAAAGAGACCCACAAGGATCATCCAGCCCAACCCCTGGCCCTGCACAGACACCCCAAAAATCCCACCCTGTCCCTGAGAGCATTGTCCAAACACCCCTGGAGCTCTGGCAGCCTTGGGGCCGTGACCGAACCCTGGGGAGCCTGTTCAGTGCCCACCACCTTTCAAAGGGAAGAACCTTTTCCTGAGATCCAGCTCAAACCCCCACAAAGACCCAAACAAGAGCCTGTCTTCACAGTTCCCTTACTTTGCTAAAACTCTCAAGCCTAAATGCCGCTGTCTTTGAGAGAATTTGGCATAATTGAACCAGTTTGCTGAATATTTCCAGCCTGATAAACTGAGACAGACTCCACTCTCACTTGGGATTATTTTTTTAACACGGCGTGTTTAATTTTGAAACTTTCTCAGGAAGATTTAAGAGATACCATGGAAGGAGAGGAGAGGAAAATAACTTGGTTTGCTCTGGAAATCTGATCTTAAAACTTCACTGGTTTTGAGCACCCTAGGGCTCATCTCTGTAAAACCAGATCCAAACTCTTCCCTCAGGATCCTAAAAACCTGCCAGAGCGGAGAGAAGGATGATGATGGAGAAGGGATGGAGACAGGATGGAGAAGGGATGAAGAAGGGATAGAGGCATCCAAGGTAGCTGGGGTGACTAGGAAGAATGTTAATATTAGGGATCTAGTTGGGTATTTGAGCACCCAATACCACTGTGAGATGGGAGAAGTTACTTCTGTACATCTGTTGCTTCACTGACACTTCACTGACCATGTGAAGAAAGATTAAGGCAAAACCACAGCAACAAGCTGGAAATAATAAGATATTTCAAATATTGTCATTATGAAGGGAAAATAACACTGAGAAAAGCAAGAGACTTTAAAGTTTCTAAAGCTTTTACTATCTAAGTAGTAATTAAAATTAATTCCCCCGTGCACTTTCCTGTTCGTTAAAAAGGAATGTGATGGGAGGAAAACACTGTAGCATTTCAAGAAAAAGAAACTGATGAAGTTTTAAACAAGAATATTAGAAAGACAAAAAAAAATTAGCAAAAAATTCAGCTGGGTACCTTTTAACTTAGTTCTGCAAATTTCAAAGGAAAAGTTAGAAACAGATCAAGCTTGAAAAACACAGAAGTTTTGTGCTACTGAAGGAGAGGACTTGTCTCAAGCTACTCTGCCAATATTAACAGAAGCAGCAAGAGACAGAGGATTATTATTACACCTCGACTGCATGGCAAATATTACATTTAATAAGGTTTTTAATGCTGCTTTAAACCAAACTCGGCAATGTAAAGCACACTGAGCAAAACAAACACGACTCGATTATTACTACGAGAGTAAAAGGGTCAGAAATTGCTTTAGCTCATCAACATTAACCCAGCATAGTTATATCCTACAGTGTATTTGCATATTTTAAAAAGTTGCTGCTGGAGTAGTTTCCTTCAGCAAAAGTTAAACAGAGTCTACTTTTGCATTCTTATTCAGCGAGGGAACACTGCTTATTTCAATCACTGTTTCCTCCCCTTGCAAATCCTTACCCAGTCCAAAAAATCTATACACAGGGCTATATAATCACTATTTAAATAGAAGAGATGGTCGAATTAACAAGCGATTTCTAGCTCAGCCTAATTTACTCAGCCCAGGATCCCTTGAATAATCCTAGGTTGGACACACACGCTGCATTGGCAGAGCAGGGGGAGTTCTCCCAAGAGAGCAACAAATGGGCAGAGCAGAACGTTCTAAAAGATCCCAATCCCCGTGCAAATCAAGCCGAACTGTAAATTATCCTAGCAGGCAAGAGAGACACGGAAAGAGAGAATCACTTACCCCTCTTCTATTACAAGAGCTACGAAGTTTTTAGGAGTCGGGATCTTTGGGTACCTCGGGGGAAAACGCAGCCGAGCGGCTGCTGCTTTAAGCCCGTAAATTGGCCAGTGGTGACATTGTAATCAAGTGTTTCTGACATAAAGCTCGCGAGAGTTGGCAGCAGCAACTCCATCTGCGGGCAGGCGCTGCTTCCCACCCGGCATCTGCCCCCGGGATAACGGGATAACGGGATAGCGCTCTGGGAACGCCACGGAGGGACCCCCGCCCCGGGCGAAACCAGGCAGGAGCTTCCCCGGGGCTGGGGGAACTCAGGGATGTGCCCTTTGCATGGGGCGGCTGGTTTAGGAGCTGGAAATATAAACAGAATTTTGAATATAATAAGTCCTGCCTGTCTTTGCTTGGTCTTGCTTAGAGCTGTCTCCCTCCTCTGTGTTTTTTTTTTTTTTTTTCTCTTTTTTTTTTTACCATTTTCAACTACCTCAAACTTTTCACTGTAAGATAAGTGGTTATTTTTGGTTTTAAGCAACTGTGGCGGATAAAACAGGAGCGTGCTCTGCCCAGGCATGTCACAACTGGCAAAGCATCAGCTGTAAGGCTTGACTCGCTGCCACCAGGGCTGTGGCAGAGCCCTGCGTGGTCCTCTGCTGATGGAGGGGGTTAAAAACGGGACCCAGGAGGTATCACATGCTGATGATCTCTGTCTTCTTGGGATTCCAACAGGAGAGATCACCCCTGGTGCTTAGGACACCTGATACCCTCCTCTTACCCCAGCCTCCCAAACACTGTTCCCACCAGAATTCCACGCTGCAGGTACAAAGCCAGGCTGAGCCACAGGTCAGGTCCTACAGCACGGGGGGGGGGGTTATTCAAAATGGAAATATTTTGATGCACAAATGAATAGACGAGAGGGGTGGAGAAGAGAAATAAATTATGTACAACCCTCCTTACAGATTGTCTTGTCAAACCCACACCCCTGAAGGTCAGCCCTTGGTGGTGGGACCGCTGCCCCCCAGGAGCTTTTACCCTCAATCTCTGCTCTGAATAAAAAAAAAGAGCAACTTTCTCAGAGTTTAAGTTTCTTTCCATGCAGCACCTTTACTTCCCCCTGTACAGCCAAACACAATTACTTTCCCTGTTTAATAATCAAACTACAGCTCTGTTTCAATTACACAGAAGCAATATTTGGTGATGCAGAGAAGAGGAATAAAGCAGAAATAAAAAGTTAAGTATGAAGTTTATAGACCTTAATATGGAGACTACAAGTGGGGTTTTTTTACAGCTAGAACGGGAAATGGTGCTTTCAGAGAGGAAAGCTTAAGAAATCATGGTCAGTTCATTTCTCCTGGTAATTTTGCAGACTCCCTTTAGGATCAGAGATCAGGGGTATTGCATGGACAAGCTCACTGGATACGATATGGCCCAGTCTAAATGTAAACCACCATGGCAAGGGGTCAGAACTGGAGGTTCTTTAAGGTCCCTTCCAACCCAGGGTTTTCAAGGATTCTATGATTCTGTGATAAAACCAAAAGCTTTCAGCATGGAAATGCCCGGTACTTGCCCAATTCTTAGCCAAGATTGTTGTGTCAGCAATGCAAATAGAAATATTTAGTGACAAAACAAGATTAATTCAGAATTAATTCTAGCCACAGCTCCTGCTGATTAAAACTTTTCAAGTGCAGTTTCCTGCAGGAAACACCAAATCATGCTCTTGAAATTAAGGCAGTTTCAATGTTCTCTGATGTGTGTGCATTCACTGCTTTTCTCTGATGCCTCTTTCCCCCATTTGGAGACGTGGCCAGGTGACACACATTTCCTTCATTTCCATGACATCAGAGGAATGAATCACAAGCCCCAAATCTTGTTAGAGGCCGCTTTTAAATGAGACATTTCAGATGTTTATGACTAACCATTGCGTTCTGAAACCTCTTTGCCTTGAGCAGCAGCGAAACAGCAGGACACTCAAACACTAAAAAATGCTTTATCTATCTGACTTTATCTATTTTCTGGCATTGTCTGTGTTTTCCTACATCTGCTGTCAGGGCTGTACCTTCCCCTCTCCTCACCCCTGCCTGCTCCCCTTTGCAGTGCCCAAGGCACCCAAACACCCCCTGCTCTCAGGCAGGACCCTCAGCAAATGCAAAATGTGGAGCCTTCCTGACAAGGTGACCCCAAGGCTGAGTGAATCAACAGTCTCAGGCTGTTTCTGAGGCAGCAGAAAACACGAGTTCAGCCTTGGGGTTACCTGGATGTCCTCAGGGAAGAGTGGTTGGGCTGTTAGACATCACAACTCTCATCCTCCAGTCTAATGTTAGACCGTTATGCCGCACTTTTAAAGAAAACCAAACCCTCTCCTATAATTTTTTTCCCTTTAATTAAAAAATTAACATATAAATTAAAGTTTCACAACTGTGTGCTGCTGCGAGAGGAAACACTTCTCTTAGTTATTACTGAGCTTGCTAAAAATACCTGAGCGAAAAGTAGAGATTAAATACATTTAATGCCTTTTGTAATTCTGTGTAGAATTGTTGCTTTCTCAGTTATCCTTTGGGAGCTTGAAAACAAAGGAGGTATAAACCAGTGCATGGAACACTATATATGTGTGTGCATATATATGTGTGTGTGTTGTGTACATACATATATATATTTATTCTGTTACTTTTAAACATTTCCATCCATCTATCTAATGAGGCTTTATGAGGTTATATGATTTTTTTTTATTTAAGGTTCTTAAAGATCACTGCAAAATATAAAAGTGCCTTTTCATTATTTCAAGTGTATGTGTGAAAGTAGTGTCACGTTGTCATAGGAAATTTGATACAAGAGATGTCCAGGTGTCTTAAGAAGTGAAAGCCAAGGTCAGCTCTAGGAAAGACTGATATTTATCAGGCTAAGAAGTTTAGAGAGCAATAGTTACTATATATAAATACGTAAACATACCTGAAAATATATAGTCAATATATAGTATAAAATATATTTTTGTTATTATTTAATTAATTATTTAGGTGCCTTTCAGGATATTAATTAAGCATAGGCAGATTTTTTAAATTATGAATATCCTAAGTCATGCCCCTTCCGTGTTATCAGAGGAGCATGGAGTGGTTTGGGTTGGAAGGCACCTTAAAGATCATCCAGTCCCACTCCCTGCCATGGGCAGGGACACCTTCCACTATCCCAGGTTGCTCCAAGCCCCATCCAACCTGGCCTTGGACACTCCCAGGGACCCAGGGAAAGCCACAGCTTCTCTGGGCAACCTGTGCCAGGGCCTGCCCACCCTCACAGCCAACAATTTCTTTCTAATATCTCATCTAAACCTTCCCTCCCTCGCTTTGAAACCATTCCCCATTGTCCTGTCACTCCATGCCCTCTCCATTTATCTTCAGGACTTACTGGAGCTGAGAAATCCTTGAGAGATAAAACTGTGGGGGAAAAGATGTGTCTCAGATGTTTCTAGTGGAGAACACGAGCCTCTCTCGAGAGGTGTCCTCTGAGCTTTCGAGGTCTACCTGCACATGAAGAGCCCCATTCACCAGAGCTGGTGCTGCCCTTCCAAGCCATCTACAGCTCAGGAAGAGCACCTGGGCTCCTGTGAGGAAAACTGGGCTGAAAAGCTTTGCAAATATCCCTTCAAAGTGAAGGATATCACATACCAAGTGTGGGCATGTCCAGGGAAATATTTACATGCTCATAGTGGGAAATATTCTCATTTTTTTAAGTGCTGGGAGGGTAATCAAAAGGCAAATTTTAGCTAAGCTATATGTAATGTCACTTGTGTGAAGATGTGGGCAGGTTGTTTTAAACTCCTGCTCTCCAATCCCTCGGGAGGGTTCAGCTCTCTCTGATCCCTGGCTGGATTTTCACGCTGAGCATCTGTGTGACCTTGGCTGGGACCTCTGAGAAAACCACCACGTTGGGAGGAAAAAAGCTGTGAGGGAAACAAGTGAACTCGAGCTGTACAAGATACAAAAGGTGAAACTGCAGACAGGGGTAAGATTGCTGAGAAGGGGACACTTAACAGCTCAAGGACTCACAGGGAGAAAACATCAAAGCTGCAAGCTGTGAGATTTTCAGGTAAAAAAAAAAAACCCACAACACAGAAGAGAGAGCTCAACAGCAGCAAAGAAGTACTGATGCTCAGCTTTGGGGCTTGTAGCCATGATGTTTAAGTGTGAATATTAAGAAATAAATCACTGCCTTTTCTTTTGAATTTTCAGAGCATCTTTTCATGCCCAAATACGGTGACCACAAAGAGCTATGTTGTTATTCTGATTATTCCAAGAAGCCTCACCACAGAGTGGCTGCCAGGATGAACAGAAGTTCCCAACAACGGATCCAAAGCGTAATTTGATAATATTAGGAAAGGTGTCTTAGATACACACCAGGAAAATGGATACCAATTTATTAAGTATACAGAAGACACTAACACTCATATAAGCCATTAAACATGATTATATTTTCCCCTTATTGGTTCAGTTATGATCTGCTGTGCCTTTTTCCTTATTACTCTAATTATAGATCAGCATAATTTCCTCTTTATTAGCACAATTATGGTCTGTACTTTTATAAATGTCTTGGAGAAATCAGAGCCAATGAGAAGATATAGCCAGTTAAAAGATAAAGGTATTATTATTATTTCTTTTGAAAGTTCATGTATTCCTAATTCCTCGTGGTATTACATAACTCAGTATTTTGTCTCATCAGGGGATCAGTTTCAATCAAGAAAATAAAATATGATTAATGTGTACAAAATATGTCTTGCATGACATTATTATAGCAAGGTGTTTACCTTGCAGGAAAATAGGAAAAATTGAAGCCTCAGCAAAGAGCTCATCTTGTGTGAGCTTTTTAGAGCTAATTAAATTACAAGTTAGGGTTTTCAGATTTCTGCAGATGATTAATTAATTGACTGTATAAGTTTTTTCCATTACTGTTTCCTGTTTCTTTTCTACGAGTTCTAAAGCTCTAATTGTTTAAAATAAAGATATTTGAATTCCCATGGTCACCTACCAGCAGCAGATTCATGAAGTTCATGATATTATGTTCTCTCACACCCAAACTCTGTGAATAACTAAGAAGTTTGGTGGATCAATGAGCTCATTTGAATCTCTAAAGTAGAATCTCTATCTGAAAGGTGGGAATTCTCCCCAAACCTCCCAATTTTCTTTTTATTATACTTTCAGTTTCTGCATCCACAAGAGAAGCAACATCCCTAATGAAAAATGCCATAGGGGTGTTCAAAGGTTCATCTTAAGTCACTGCTGTTTTCAGATTTCAATTTCATCCAGCGTGGT